AGCAACACAGCAATTATCAGTCCCAGGTGTTAACGACAAAGCTTCCCACTGCTGCTTCCAATTAGCAGCTCCTGGGGACTGCATGCTGCCATTCCATCACCTCGCTGGGTGTCCTGGGGGGGTGGAGGGAGAGGGTCAGCAGGTGACAGCAGTGGGGCACCTGGGGCTGGTTGAGTGCTGCATTGCACCCGAGGGGAGCTTCTGGTTGCTCAGGGCCAGGTTTGCCTCCTCCCCATCAGCATTTGCTGCTTTGCTTCCATCCCCAGAGGGTTTTAATAACACAGATAAGATCTACAGTCTTTCATTAGGGTTTGCACTGCAGTGCCCTGTAACAGAGCACGCAACGCTGGGAGGGATCGAAGAGCACTCAAGCAAACCAGAGCCTCCAGCACGTCTCCATCCTGCAGGAGCAGGGCACCAAAACATCCACACCTCAGGGTCCAGTGGGATTTCCCTTGGGGTCCCCCCAGTTTCTCTCCCCACATCACCCCAGCTCTCTCCCAATCGGGTTGCAGTCCCTCTGCAGCAGAATCAGCCCACAGTGAGCTCGAGCTCAGGCTGCTGGTTGCTCCCCTCCAGATCTTTGGTCCACATACAAATGTGAATTTCTCTGCCTCGTTCCAAACAGGGAAAGTTGCTCCTCCTGGCATGGAGGGGGGGGGGATGGCAGTGCAAGAAGGGACCATTGTGACCGAGCGCAGCTGCGTGGAGGGGATTGGATGAGGAATGCCAAACGTTGGCTGCTGGGATGAGGCTGCAGTGAGCCAGCAGCCCTGACGGCGTTCCAAACCCAGCACGTGGATGGTGACAATCGGGGCTTTATGGGGGAGAGAGGCGGTTTGTGGCTCAGGCAGGAGGAGGTGAGCGCTCACAGGTGAAAGGTGAGGGGTTGGAAATCCACGTGGGGCTCACAGGGTGCTCCTAAACATCACAACAACACAGTGCTGGGGAGGAGGAAAGGCAGAGCCGGGCAGCCTGCTTGGTCCTGATGCTGTTGCTTCTCTCGTTTAATTGTTGTGCATTTAACGCAGCGCCAGCTTTCGTCCCCTGCTGGTTGGCAATGGCTGCACGGCTCCATAGAGCTGCTTGGGGGGCAGGGGAAGGCAACGGGCAGCCAAAGTGGGATAACCCTCATGCAGTCCCCGCGTCAAACCTCATCTCTAACCACAATCCTCAAACCCCATCTCCCACCAGGTTCTGCTATGGGGCTCCCGAACCCCAAACATCCACCCCAGAATACTGAACAAACCCATAGCAGACAAATCCTTGAGCCCAGCCCAGAAGCAGCGCATGTCTCAGGTTAGTACAGATCTCTTTAGGGTCGTTAGGCAAATGATCAGCATTATTTTTGGGGGTTGGGGTCCCATTGGGGTTGGGGTCAGGGTTCTTAGGATGAGGTTTGGGGTCAGGGTTCTTAGGATGAGGTTTGGGGTCAGGGTTGGGGTCAGGGTTCTTAGGATGAGGTTTGGGGTCAGGGTTTGTGGTCTGACCCCAATATTCAGACCCCACCAAGGGAATCACCTCCCCTATAATCAGACCCCACAAACGATCTGCTTCGAGGCTCTGGTGCCCCATAGAGAGATCCAAGGCATAAAGTGATGCAATACAACCCAACTGGATAAGTCTGTTGTAGAATGATGGCACTCATCATAAGCACTGAACCCTAAAATGCAACACAGGGAAGACAAGGGGAAAGATATGGAGAAAGCAAGGAAAACACCCAGGGAAAGCAAGAGAAAACCAACACAAAGCCAACAGGAAGCCATAAAACACAGCAACGAGCTCTGGGCAAAAACAGAGCATGCCACGCTGTGTAATGAGATTACATCTGAGTGTGTATATTGCCCTTATCTATTCGAGCAATTAGCAGTCAGTCAGCAAAGCTGATGCCAGAGCATCCCAGGAAATGCAGCTTTCTGTTTCTTGCTGCTTTCAGGAGGAGCCACAAAAGTGCCCTGGCAGGTCATGCATTGATTACAGTGGCAGCGTGGTCAGGATTATGAGAGGTTTGGGCTATTATGAGGGTTAATACAGTCATTTTTAGAGCATTGGCAATTATGATTAGCATTATGTGAGACTTATCTTTAGGGTTGAAATTCCTATTGGTGTTACTCTGATGATGACTTTCCTGGCTTGTTTTTAGTGGGTTTTTAGGGCTATGACAATTATTGTGAGGGTGATTGGGGTTATGATTAATGTTATTTTAGGGTTAAGATGGTTACTTTAACAACTGCCTTTTGCCTTACGATTCAAGCTATTTCACTGTAAACTTTTAGCATTAGTCGTGTTGCTACATGAAGAGTTGCTTTTAGCAGAGGTTAAGGGCCAGGTTTAGAGCTACACTAGGGGTTGATGCAGCTTCTTTAGAGCTATTAGGGCTCCTATGAGGATTAGGACTCCAGGTTAAAATGAAGGCTCTCACAGCCAATCAGGCCCCACCAATGCAATCTGCTTCCATGCTATAGGGCCCTACGAAGGCTTTGCCTTCCCCTGAGCAGGTCAGCCTTAGGCGGAGACCCTTCCCAGAAGCTACAGCAGTTACCTGCAGGCCGGGCCGCTCTGACACCAAAACAGATTCTCTTCACAGACAGAGATGGGATTATGGTTGACGTTACAGCTCAAGTTGTCGCTGCAGGAGCAATTCAACTCACGAAGGAAGCAAAATGACAATGAAGTGCTCAGACCAGGCTGGTCTCCGAGGGAAAAGCGGGCACCCTGAGGATGGTTTGGGTGCATTGCTGGCTTTCTGTTGCTGAGCAGTATCTGGACAAGGATCAGCAGGCGATCACCTGTTGGTTTTCCCTTTAAAATCACTTTAAAACGATGCTGTCTCCTGCTCTCTTCCCGATCCTTTTTCCAGCGGTTCTCGCACCTCCTCGGAGCGCTGCGGCTCTCTGCTGCCCCCTGCTGGACGCCATGTGGTACTGCAGGAATAGCCCCGCGCATGCGCAGTAGCTCCTTACTCACAGGGCAATATGGAGGCGCTCTGCGCACGTGGCTGCTTACCGGCAGATTTAGCGACGTGCCCGGGGTCGCGAAGCACTGCGATACCACGACGCTTGGCTGTAGGAGACAGGCAAGAAATCCGCGTGTTCAGCAGCTCCTGGGAGACCCCACAGTGGATCTGAAGCTGTCCCAGGGCTGCTTCACAGGAGGTGGCACAAATGGATAAATATCCTAAAATTGTTCATTCTTCTGCGTTGGAAGGGACCCACAGGGATCACGCCCAGTGCCTGGCAACCTCAGCATTAAGTCATACATCTAAGAGCCTTGTGCAAATGCTTGCTGAATGCCCATGGGCTCCTCTCAACGTATCCCTGTCAGCAACATGATTTAGTGTGCGCTCAGCTCCCAGTGTTTAGACTAAAAATTGAACCCCTAGGAATGCAGATTTTTACCTGATGTGTTTCCTTGCGTGCTACAAAGCTTTGAACCTGACTCTTCAACCAAGTGGATCATGCACGAAGGGACTCAAAGTGCCCAGCTGTATGCTGGATTCTTTGGTTCTGTTCACCGTGCCTCAGACCCAGCTTATCCTGCCCAGAACACGAATAATTCCTAGCAAACCGTAACGAAAGTGCTCTTTTTCCAAGCAGCCACGGCGTGGCTGTCACCCAGGCATCGCACGGCAGCCTCTGCACTACTGCATGTGCGTGGAGCAACGCCTGCGGTGCCACATTTTGGTCGCTAGGTGGCAGCAGCGAGTGACGCAGCGCTAGTACGCATGCGCAATGCTGGGGCGGGTGACTGCCGGTCAGGTGACGCGATGAGCCAATCGGCTGCCGCGACGCTCTGAGGGACAGCTGGGTGACAAAGCGGTCCGTTCCCTGTGGTAAAAAAAGTGGAAATACACAAGAGGCATCGCGGAACGGATTGAGGAATGTCCGCGGGTGGACTGCTCATCTACTCCTCAAGTAATTACAAGAAATAGATGTCGCTTTTACGTCTTCGGAAACGTGCGTTGCGCTGCCTGGAGGACCAAAGAACATAGAGATTGGTGGACTGCCGGCGCAGAGCCGCTAAGGGGAAGCGACTCTACTTCCGCACATGCGCAGCAAGCTCGGGAGGACCTACTGCCATAGAGACAGGCGTCACGGGTGTGCAGAGCGTCTCGGTAGTACTGCGCATGCGCGAATCCATGTCTGCATTACCGAGCGTTGACAGCAGGCGGCAGCACGTTTGCTCCGTGCTGTGCCTGCAGTACCCTGTTTCTCCAGCAGGGGGCAGCAGCGTTTAGCAGACTGCCCCGTTCCTATGGAGGGGAGCGGTTCAGCCCATTGACCGATCCCAGAAGTCAGCAATGAACTCCCAGTGTCTGCGGTGTCACCTTCCATAAATTCCTCCTCCCTGATGCCATTTTTGTACTATTTTCTTGCTTTCAGCTAGAGCTTGAGTGACTCTCATCACATTTTTGTTGTAATTGGTGTAAAGACGCCTCCCTTTGCTTTTATTGGTATAGGCAAATGAATTCTGAGTTCATGCTCGGTGAGGTGTGGTCACACCTTGGAGGCTGGCAGCCTTTGGGATGGAGGTGTTGACACAGGAGACCTGCAGGCCAGTTTAACCTCACACGGATCGCTGCTCATCGCTGCACCAGGCCCCAGGAAAGCAGTTTTTTGTCTCTGTCTAAAAGGATTTTGTCCCTTCCCATCCCACTGCTTCTTTTGTGGTCACCTGCTCCCCTCTGGGGGCACTGAGGCTGAAGGAGATTATGGCATTAAATCCCCAGCATCTTCATTTCCAGCACTGCGTTCTACATCACCCGTGTTCCTGTCTTCATCCCCCCAGAGACAAACCATCCTGTTGCTGTGAATAGAAATACTTTATTGCTACTGTGCTGGGGTGCGTGCAGCAGCGTGGGGGCTTAGCACAGGACCCCCAGTGCCAGGTGAGTGATGGAGATGGATGTGCCAGTACCAGGGTGCTGCTCAGAGAAGCAAAGGGGCCGTGAGGGTGTGAACACGGGCCTGGCCCCCCCCCCCCCCTCCCCCCCCGGCCAGGTTGCTGGCTGTGCCCATGGTTCCTGTGGTACTGCCTTGCTGGTGGGGATTCATCTGCCCTGCTCCTGCAGCCTCTGCATCTTCAGGATCTGGCACAGCAGCCTCTGCACGTCCTCATCCATGTGGCCCTGGGGCAGAAGAGACATTCAGGAGCTCAGTGAGTTGGCAGTCTGTGGATCCCTTGCTGCCACCCCTGGGCACTGATGCACGCATGGTGCAGTAGTCCCCTATGGCACTGTCCCCACTGCCATGTCCCAGCTCACTTGCACTGCGTAGAGCAGGTGGCTCCGGTACAGCTTGACCACCTTGCTGTGCTGCAGCTCCGTCTCCTGAAAGAGAGCAAGCAGCCTTGGGCTCGGGGTGAGGACCTGGGAACCCACCAGGCACCCCGATACCCACCGCCAGCTTCTCCTCCAGTGCCCGGATCCTGGACTGCATGGCAGCAGTTTCGGGGGGGGTCTGCATCACTCCCTTGGACTCTGGGAGAGCATTCAGGGCCTCCTTCAGCCTGAAGACCTCCTTGGAGAGCTCAGTGATCTGCGCAGTGCACGGTTATGGGGAACCAGGTGTCACTCAGCCCCATCTCCTTAGGGATCTCCCCATTGCTGTGACCCCGCTGCCACCCTTCCACCACCTCCCCATCCCCTACCTTCCTATCCCTGTCCCTGACCAACCGGGCTGAATCCTCTACGTGGCCGTGGAGGTCCTGCAAGCGCCGTGTTTCATCTCGTGCTTCGGCCAGCTGCTGCTGCACCGCGGCCAGCCGCTCCTCGGCCGCCTGCCTCTCACTCTTCATGAACAACGCCTGCCTTTGCACCCTGAACACCTCCTCGCACGTCTTCTCGTGCCGTCGCGACAGCTCATTCAACCTCTGGCTCAACGCCGCCGCCTCGGCCCTCAGCCCCTCCTGCGCCGCCTCGTGCTCCCCACGCGGCACCGCCGTCTCCAGCTCAGCCTGCAGCCTCGCAGCCTCGCGTCCTTTGGCTTCTGCCACAGCTTGCAGCCGATCTGCCCGCTGCTGCAGCGCCTGCAGCTGCTGCTGCAACGCCGCCGTGGCCCGAGCGTGCTCCTCTGGAGACACCTGGCTCTTGGCTTCCCTCTGCGCCTGCTGCAGCCGGGCCAGCACCTCCTCGTGCTCCTTCCGTCCCACTGGCCGGGCTGCCAGCTGCTCTCGCAGGGTTTCCAGCTCAGCCTCCCTGCGGCCCAGCACCTCTTGCAGCTGCCCCAGCTGAGTTGTCAGCTCCCCGTGTTGCCTTGCCAGCTCGGCCATGCGCTGCTCTGGCACTCCTGGCTCCAGCTCGGGTGCGTTGCCTGCCCGCCAGCTCTGTGTCTTGGCTTCCATCTCACATCTCATCGCTTCCGCCACCGCTTCTGCTCGGCTGCAGCGCTCCAGCAGGGCCGCCTTCTCCCGCAGTGCCTCCTCTTGGGCACCACCAGCCTCCAAGCGGCCCTGCAGCTCCCTCACCTGCTGCTCTCGCTCCTCCAGCGCTGCCTTTGCTTGCTTCAGGGCCATCCGAGCCTCGGCCAGCTCAGTGCCACGCTCGTCGGGGCTGGAGGGAGGCTGCTGGAGGGGCACCCGCAGCTCACAGCGGCTCTGGACCTGGTGCTCAGTGCTGCACCGCTGCTCCTTGCTGCCTTTTCCACCTGGCCCTGTTGCAAGGCTCTGCCTCCCACGCTCGGCACCCTGAGCCTGCAGCCTCTCCAGCTCACGCTTGAGGGAGTTGTAGAGGCTGGCAGGCACAAAGTCCTCAGGGGAAGATGGGTCACTCTCGTCCCGCTCGAAGTTCTCCAGGACCTGCTGAGGGGATGGTGAGGCTGCCAGCAGGCAGGGAACCAAGGGATGGATGGGCAGACAGATGGTGACTTGCCTGTATCTTCTCCCTCAGCTCCTTGTTCTGCATGGTGAGCGACTGCACCTGGCCCTGCAGCGTGGCCAGCAGCTCCTCAGCCGAAGGGCTCAGAGTCTTCTTGGAGAGCAGCAGCTCTGCCCCTGTGCAGCACACAGATGCTGGTGCCGTGCCCGTTTCCAGCTCCACACAGCCAGGAACGCCGTCTGTGAGCGACGCACAGCCCCACGGTGACCATTGGAGGCCAGCAGGGCCCCTACCTGGGAACTCGAGCAGCTCTCCCTCCTCGTCCTGCAGCGTCTCGATGTCGTAGCTCGTGTTTTCCTTCTCATTCTAAGGGTGCAGAGCAGTACGTGTCAGATGCTGCACACCCTGCCTGGCCTCTGGTGCTGCCAGCCACTCTCTGTGCCCACCTCCTGCGAGGACAAACGGCTCTGCAGAGCCTCCACCTCCTTCCCCAGCCGTTCCTTCTCTCTCTCCCGTGCTGCCAGCCTCTCCTCCAGCTCTTGGATCTGCACAGCATGACACAGGGGTCCCCAATGGCACCCCCAGCACCAGGACCTCTCAGACAGCCAAGGCTGCCTATGACCTCCCCCACACTGGCCTCACCTGCTTCTCCATGGAGCGTAGGGAGCCTTTATCCAGCTCTGCCTGCTGGCAAGACACAGAGAAACAACAGAATCACAGAATCACCAAGGTTGGAAAAGACCTTCAAGATCATCCAGTCCAACCACCTACCACCAACAGTACTCCCTAAACCACGTCCCTCAACACAAAATCCACAGGGAAACAGGGAAAGATAAATGCTGTCCTCATCCCTCCCATCCCTGGTGATGGGGTGGCATCTTCCCCACGAAATTGTGCCTCATCTGTACCTCTCGTCTCTCCTTCTCCTGCTGCTCCAAGCCCCGGATTTTCTGCAAGAACTGTGCCCTCTCCTGCCGCAGCCTCACAATCTCCTCGTAAGCATCCTGGTCCTCCTGCAGGCAGATGGAGGAGTTCTGAATGGGTTCAGCTGCCTTGTGACTGCAGATATGGAGCTAAGCCCGTACCAAGAAGGATCCTGTCCCTTACCTGGCCTGGGGTACCTGGGGGAGGCAGGGGAGCTTTTCTCTTCCTCGGAGTGTTGCTTTTCTCTCTGCCTGCTGACTGGCTGGGTGAAGATGTCTGCACAGAGGGACATCACATGCCAAGTGGCCTTCCCCCTTCCTGAACCATCACTGCCTTGGAGAGCCTGAAGACTCCCAATGACCCCCACCCAAGGGCTGAGGGCAGGATCCAGGCTAATCCCGCTAAGAGTCAGGCCTGGCAACCCTCACCTGGGACGTCTGCTCAGATGTCTCCTCTTCTGTGGAGAGAAAGAGAAATCAAGGCGATTTTGGGGATCATGGAGGTGGGCACAGCAGGTGGAGCCACACTGGGGGTGTTCACAGTGTCGTGTACTCATGGAGAGCAAACAGCTGCCTTACCACTGGCCCAGGACTGGCGCTGAGCAGCCTCTTGCAGGAAGTGCTGGATGAGAGCGTTGCCCGTGGACAGGCTGTAGTGTGCAGCATCGTGGCCCATCGAATCCACCAAGGCCACCCGTGCACCAGCATTGATGAGCACCTCCACGGTCTCCACGCTGCCATTCTCACAGGCCAGCATCAGGGCTGTCCTGAGCAGAGGGATGGGAGCAGAGGTCAGAAGACCATCCGTCTCCCCATGTGCCCCCAACCTTCACCAGCAAAGACTCACTTCCCCTGCAGGTCCCGGCTGTTGATGGCTGCTCCACGGTGCAGCAGGTACTGGCAGAGCTCTGAGTGGCTCATTTTGGCAGCAAGGATCAACGGAGTGCAGCCATTCTGGGCAGAGATAAATTGGGTGAGGTTCTGGGGATGCTGCTTGGATCCCCCACCTTGGGGCACCCTGCTGCTTGATTTCCACATCCTGCTTGCAGGGTGTTTTCACAGCAGTGCTCTGGAGACCACAGGCACTGCCAGCTGCTGCCTTCCACCCCAGAAGCAGCTGCATTTCAGAGGCAGCCTGGATCTTTGCTGCTCTATAAAGTGTCACAGGGTGAGAAGCAGAAGGATCTCACCTTATCCTTAATGTTCAGGGGAGCTTTGTAATCGCAGAGGATCTCTGAGCACGGGATGCAGCCACTGATTGCTGTGGAGGACAGAGGCTGAGCACTGCCTGGTGTAGGGATGTGAGCAGGATGGGTTTGGCACTGTCCTCACTCACCTGCATGGTGCAGCGCCGTCTGGCCACTGCTGTCAGCTACATCCACAGGGCAGGAGGCCTGAAGGGAGAGGACAGATGGGGGACAGATAGACTCTGCAAGCATGTGGCTACTTAGCATAGTTGTAGGGTTGAGCAGGGCTGTCCCAAATCATACAGTGCCAGATAGAGCCAGGAAACCACCGTGCCAACCAGCACCACCACTGAGGGAAGGGAGCTCAGAGACAGAGGGCAGCAGGCTGGGGCTGCCCTTAAGGTGCTGGGCTCTGTGTGGTGTGACACAGCACCCTCCCTCTCATCCCCAGTACCTGCAGCAGCTTGCTGACACATTGTGGGTGGCCGTGCTTGGATGCCAGGTGCAGGGCAGTGTAACCTGGGGAGAGGGACAGACAAACAGGTCAGAGGACAGACAGTGGGTTCATAGCGCTGGTTGGATCAGCTGGGGAACAGATGGATGAGCACACACAGGAGGACTTGCTGAGCTGAGCTGGGCCACCACAGCATTAGAAAGGGGCATGTGGCTGCCATGCCCTCACCTGAGCTGTCTTTGGTCATGGCATCCACACCGTGAGCTAGCATGGCTTCAAGGCAGTCTGCATTCCCCCGTGTGGCAGCCAGATGAAACCTGCAGCGAGACCCAGAGCTGTCAGACCCACATCTCTCACCTGAGCCCCATCACAGCCCTCCATCCCTGGTGACCTGGAGACACAGGACAGCACTCACGCAGATTTGCCCTCAGAATCCAGCTTGGTGGGGACCAGGCCCTTGCGGACGAGGAGGGATGCCACCTTTCCAGCATCGTTGTAGTCCACAGCTTGCAGGAGCTTCTCATCATTCTTGGTCCAGTCCTGACTCTGCAATGAAGCCAACGTGAGGCTGTGATCTCTGTGCTATCATCAGGGGCAGGTAGGATGTTGAGCTAGGTGTGGGTGCTAATCCTCACCCCCCTCATCTGCTATCTCCCACCCACCCCCAACTCTATCCCTTGGGTGCAGTTTCCCAGCTGCTGCAGTGTCTGGTGTGCTGTATGAAAGGTTTAGCTGGGAGAGCTGATGGGAATAAGGTTCCCCTTCACACCCCAACCAGTTTGCAGTTCACAGACAGAGGAATTAACAGAATTGCCCCAGTTTAACTCTCAATGTTCCAAGATTTGGGATGCTCCCTGATTGCCCCTGCCCCAGGGTTTGTTCCTGCCACCCCAGCGACCTTGATGCTATCCACAGCCAGCACCCAGGGGTGTCTGAGCCCTATCCCTGCCTGGGTCTCTCTATTCTCAGCCTTGTTTTTCTCCTTTCCAAGGCAGGGGTCAAGTCAGGGCAAGCAGGGCTGACAGTGAGCTCAGGTCCCTGGGGATGACTGCAGCCCAGGATGTGTTGGGCACAATTCTGTCCCCGCTCCCAAACAGGACTGGGGCTAGGTAAGAATTTGCTGACCCAGTGGCCTCACACCTCCCCTGCTCAGGGAATGACCCACAGCAGAGCAGGACTCTCCCCACAGCCTGTGACAACAAACCAGAGGTTGGCTTCGGCTGGGAAATAGATGTCACCTCTGAGAGCTGCTCACATCCTACCCCTCACCAGCTGCCGCCCAGCGCTAGGCAGGGGCCCTGTGCCACGGCGTCTGTTCTATGGGGCCAGGGGACCCACTCAAGGGGTGTGGAATAAACCAGACTCCCAGGGTTACTGGGCAAACTGGGAGCGTGGCGCTCACCCCCTCCCCTTTGTCTTGCAAGGACAAAGCAGCTCGGAGAGGACGCAGCGGAGCCTCGGGGACAGGATTGGGAATAGAGGGGATCCGGGCGGGGGTTGGGGGCGACAGCTTACCCCGTGTGCAGGACTGAAGGGGAGCGGGGATGGAGGGCAGGGACGTACCGCAAAGGAGGCAGCGGCACAGAGGCAGATCTGCTTCATGGTGTTGAGGAGGAGGCGGCGGGCAGCCATGCATCCCTTGCCTGAGCGTAGGCTGGCCGGGGCTCCTGATTACGGACCCCAGACCACGGGTCGGTCCGGTACCGCCGCCCGGGCGGGGACCGAGTCCTGCCGCAGTGACAGTCGGGATCCGCCTCCTGCCACCCCTTCGTCCCTCCTTCCTTCCCTCCCTCCTCGGCGCCCAGAGCTCCAGCATCCCTGCATGCCTGCCTCGGAGCAGGTACTGAGGTTCCACCGAGCACCAACTGGTCCCAGTTAGAGTGGGAGGGGATGGGGATGAGGGGGGAGTAGCTCTTGGACATCCCGTGTACAAGAAGAGGAAAAGATGCATCTCCGAACTACGGGGACAAGCACCCTCCCACTGCCTGTAACCACTTCCTTGAAGAAGAAGGATGTAGGACCTGAACCCTGCCCTGGGGGACACAAACTGATCTCCCATCACTCTGGGGCCAAGAGGGACATGCAGGACCCCCCGCCTGAATCTTAGGAACTACTGACCTCCTGCAAGGAGAGAACCCCAAAATGCAGAGGATTCCCAAATATCTGTCCCAGAAGAGCCCAAGGGGACCGAATGGAGACCCTCAGCCCTCCCCTCTCACAGCAGTGTAGGGAAATTGAGGCACAGAGCACTCTGAGCACAGCAGGTAGTGCAGGCTTCTCCACCTACACGTCCCCCTGGTGCTTCCATAGGCAGTGGGGACAGCACTGTCACCCTCTTCCCAGCCTGGGAAGCAGTAGGAATATGCAGCATTATGCCACTCTGGTGCTGAATAATTAAGGAGCATTGACTTGCTGGCTCCAAGGTGGGAACCCAATCTGGCTGTGGCAGCTGGAAAGCTGGCAGCCATCCCTGCATCCCACTGGACAGAAATGGGTACAGGACCTGGGAAACACTCACCTCTCCTCGGTGCTGCTTTTCCTTCCTTTGCTCTGCCCTGCTCCCACCAATAATCCCAGTGGCAGCCATGGTTATTGGCCACTCGGGACAGGTCCCCATGTCCCCATACCCATGCAAAACATAGGACATCCTGGGGCAGGTCCCTGTGTTCCCAGACCCCTGTGAAACCCACTGACACCCCCGGGGCACTGGCAACCCAGGACACGTCCCCATGTCCTTGGGGACAGCACTTACATCTGCCTTCCTGAATTTGGCCTTCAAGCTCTTCATGGTAACTGTAGTCCTGTGGCACCCGGACACCCGATGGCTGTGTCTGAAAACCTCGTCTGCTTGCTGGGGTCAGGCTGTGGGGATGTGGCTGTTGCAGAGGGCAGTGGCAGCTTTGAGGGCTTTGCTGCTGCTGCTATGGGTCCAGCTCGCCACCAGCTCTGTCTGTTCCTTGTCTCACTGCTACTGGCCCACAGCATGGCGCGGGGGGGGCACATGAAGGCATTGGGTTACCTCTGCGGTTACAGGTGGGGGGGGACATGGGAGGGCCCAGCACCAAGCAGAGCAGGCAGCACCCTTCAAACCCCTGCACCCAGGCATAGGGCAGCTTGCATTGGAGAGGGTATCACGGCAGGGCTGGGCAAGCCTCAGGGGAGGGATAGAAGGATTTGGAACCACCACAACATTTCAGGTTAAGTGTTAGGGAGAAATATTTTACTCAGAGGGCAGTGAGCTGCTGGAACACCAGAAATTGGGGATGCCCCATCTCTGGAGGCACTCAGGGCTAGGCTGGACGGGATCCTGGGCAGCCTGACCCAGCGGTTGTCAACCCTGCCCAGTGAAGGGGGGTGGAACTTGATTATCTTTAAGGTCCTCTCCAAACCTAAACCATTCTATTATTCTATGACCTGGCCCCCCAACCCTATTAGGCTGCAGGCAGTGTAGGACATGGATGAGACGAGCAGAGCTGAGAGCCCCTGCCCTCTTTGCACGGCATCACCAGGCATTATACACCCTTGCCTGGCACCTCCTTATCAGCACCCAGTGTTTTCTTCCCTTCCAAAGGCTTTGTCTTATAGTGCATGTATTAGCACGGTGAGGGCAGACGTCCCTGTTGCCAAACACAAAGATGGCGGCGAGGACTTCATGAGTCTGCTCATGCGTACTGGTGCTGCGGCCTACTCTAGACAGGAGTCTGCGCATGCGCACTGTGGCTGAGGCCTACTCTAGACTGGAGTCTGCGCATGCGCCCTAATGCCGCGGCCTCCCTGTGCGCTTCCGCCCGCTCGCGGACCGACAACAATGAGCTCTCCGGTGGCCGGGCCGGGCCATGGCGGTGAATTACGCGGCCGGGCTCTCGCCCTACTCGGATAAGGGCAAGTGCGGCCTCCCCGAGGTGAGCACGGCGCGGCGGGGTCGCCTGGCATGGCCCGAATCCTGCGAGGTTGCCATAGCAACGGGGCTTTGTGCTCCCTGGGGACCCCCGGCACCGCGGGGTTTTTAGGTGCTTCGGTCCCGGCCTCGGAGCTCGCCGCCTCCTTTCCCTTCTTCCTCCTGCTTTGCGTCCCGTCCTCCCCTTTGTGTTCCTCAGGCCGGCCCTTTCCCCTGGCAGGATCCTTCCCTCTCCCCTCCCCATCGCCCAGCGGGCCGTTTGTTTTGAAGGGAGCGAGGTGGGCACCGCTGAGTTCCTCCTGGAGTGACCCCATCCCTGCGCCCCCAAGCCCCCATCCATGCTCACAAAGCTTAAGAAAAGCTTTGGGTTGGAACCGCTGTCCCTAGAAGGCCAGGCCAAAGAACCATCCTATGGAAATGAATTTATGCTGTGCCAAAAATCAGAATGGGCCCATGACCCCATCCACCACCATCCCCCATCCTGCTCGTTTTAAGCCTTAATTTGCATGGGGATGGTATATACACTGCTGTTTGTTTCCCTCATTATGTGCATTTGTCATTAAGCAATGTGACACATCAAATCTCCTTTCCCACGTGGAGTTGTCATTGTGGATAAGACAGAAGTGTGGTTTGCTGGCTCTTTGTGCCTGCCAGGAGGCACGTAGGACCCCTCTCTGCATATCCCCATTCACGTGGGGATTTGTCTCTTCCTCTCAGATTTTTGATCCACCAGAAGAGCTGGAGAGGAAGGTGTGTGAGCTGGCAGACTTGATAAGGAGTTCTTCCAATGTTGTGTTCCACACAGGGGCTGGCATCAGCACCGCCTCGGGGATTCCTGACTTCAGGTAAAGGCAGTGGGCAGCAGGCAAAGGGGGGTAGAGGGTGAGCAGCACCTCATCCGAGTCCATCTTCCATCTAAACTGGGCTTCCTGCCAGTCATCCTTCCAGCAGGGATCATCCTGTCATGTCCTTTCCACTCTTGTCTTGTCCTGTATCCAGCTGAAACTACCTTTTCCATCTTGCACATTGGTTTGATGTTAAACCTAGAAGCCCTGTGTGCATTTTGAACAAAAATATCCAGTAATATTTGGCCCTTGTTTAGCACTGATGGGGCTTGGGATGAATTTACAAGCATCGTAGCAGAGCCTGAGATCTCAGTTATTGTTTCTTCTTGTCCCTTTGCTGCAGGGGGCCTAATGGTGTCTGGACTATGGAAGAGAAGGGGCTTTCCCCAAAATTTGACACCACCTTTGAGAACGCCAGGCCCTCCAAAACTCACATGGCACTTCTGGGGCTGCAGAGAGTCGGCATCCTGAAATTCCTGGTCAGCCAGAACGTGGATGGCCTTCATGTGCGCTCAGGATTCCCACGGTACTGCTTCTCCCACCCTGCCTCCAGGTTCTTTTTGTCTCTCCCAGATGCCAAAGCGTGGCTGTTCTTCCTGCCTGATTAGCACGGCCTCGTGTGCAAGCATCTGCAAACATCCCTGACAAAGTACACCAGCCAGTTCTCTCTTTATGTTGGGGATTGAGTTTCAGAGATAAGTTAGAAGCTGTTTGCCCACTGATGTGGATAGTGGATAGACTGATGAAACTGCCATAGAATCAGGGCAGAGAGGGTGCTGCAGTAGGAACTGATCTAACTTACTAGCTGCAGTCTCTGATTTTTTTGCCAGCTGCAGTGGGCTCAGGGCTCCTACATAGAGGTGTTCCTTCTGTGAGGAGCTGTGACGTGGAACCCAAGGGTGAGGGATCTCCCCTCTCTGCTTGGGTGGAGTCTGAAGTGTGTTTAGCAGAGTGGTGGCTATTTCCAAGTTGTCCTCAAAGGAACCTGCCTTTCTATGAGCACTTGTGGCAACATGCTCTTCTCCCTTCAACGAAGGCCTGTGATAAGAACCCATTTCTAATCGTTAAGACCAGCAGGTAATTATCTCATAATCCAAACTGTTTGGAACTGCCTGGAAGAGAAAGAGAGAGCAGCTGAATTCAAGGAAGAAAATGGAGTGAAGGAAGTTAGAATGAGATGCCTGACTGGGAACTGGGAGAAGATGCAGAAGATCTCAAATGGCTTCAGCCTTTATGGTCTGAGCAGAGCTGGCTCAAAAGGGTATTTCTTATTATTAAAAGCCTTGAGTCCTGGTTCGTGCTCCTGACCCTGCATATGCCTTTTCAAACTAAACAACCTTGGAAAAAGGAATAGGAATTAATCACCATGGCTCATCAGTGCTCCCTTCAGCCTGCTGCAGCTGGCTCACATTCTTCTTCAGCATTTCTCTTGCACTCAAGTGGAGCACGTGCTTAAGAAAGTGCTGCTCAGCTGGGGCCAAAGCTGTTCAGTGTTGTGGATCAGGTCAGTCCTGGAGGAGGTTTCCAGTCACTGTGAGGCTCACAGGGAAGTGGGAAGAATGTGGCTTTGTTTTCCACTAGCTTCTGCACTTTGAGTTTGGTGTTGAACTTGAGGGGAGTTTTGAACAAAAGGGCTGGAAAAGAGCTGGGACTCTGCAAGGACAAAGAGAAAACCACTGAGTGCTGAGAAAAGCAAAGATCCAGGTTGTTGTTAGGCACAAGGAAGGTTTGAGGCTGGGTCAGAATAGAAAAAGAACTGGTGCTGTAGAGGGAAGCATTTAAAATCAAGCCAGGATATGCTCTCCTTCCCCTTGGTCTCAGTGGTGGCAAGCACAGCATAATGCTCTCATGATGGAAGTGAAATGGGTGCAGAA